CAAAGCCTAAAGATTTCTGACACAATATAGCTACTCCCCCTTTTTTACAGTTTTCATAGGAGGCACTGAATATCTGTCCCACCCACTCTCTCTTTAATTTAGCATGTTCTGCCTCATTTAAATGAGTTTCTTGCAGAAGCCCAATTGTACAATTCAGCCTTTTTAATTGAGTTGGGATTTTTTTCCTCTTAATAGCGTGATTTACACCATTAATATTGTAAGTAATTATTTTCAAAGTTGTCATAACTATGTGAGAACAAAAGTTATTTTACTTCCCTTCAATAGTATATTGATACTTTTGCAAACATATTTAGCATTCAAAATCAGCTCGCCGAAAAACAATGAACCAAATGAACTAGAAAACAGACCTGCATCATCATAGAACTTCCAGTTATTCCATGTGCTGCCCTTTTGAATAATACAGGCAGCACACTCCTGATGCAAAACGGACAGGGAGGGTGATCTCCCTGGGTGGGGTACATATAGTGTGTAAGCAGCAATCCACATAGTCTCCAACTTTTTGCTGCCTTAAATGCCCAAATAAAGAGAAAACATTCACCCCATAAACATACCGATACTTTAGAAATATTAATAATACTTATACCTGCATGTCCTTATTTATATTCTCAGACACTCCACCATTGGTTGAAATGACAGCTAATCTGGGGGCAGAACTAGGTGTTCGTTACCGTCTCAGTCCTCCTTGTGTTGATCCACAGAGTTTATAATGGTCCTAATGTCCATGGTGTTCAGATTTTGATCAGCCTTCTCACGTCTCCCCTGGGTCTGCCATCTATCACGTAGTAATTATCTCTCCAAAATGTCCCGATCATCCACCTCCACAGGGATTCCAAGTTCCCTCAGTGTGGCTTGGGCATCCAGTAAAGAAGGGAAGGTCTTGACACCTTTATCCAGGAACAGTCTAAATTGAGCCGGGTATACCATACCATACCAATTTATTTATATAGCACTTAAAACAGCAACAAGGCCAACCAAAGTGCTGTACAAAAGAACACAAACATGCACAGCAGACAGGAAAACATAAAATAGAAATACAGATACAAATAGCAGCAGAAGCTAACTGAAATGGCCAACAGAGTAGAGAACAGACCGGGCCAAAACAAATCACACCGTGTTAAAGGCAAGCGAATAGAAGTGGGTCTTCAAGCGAGACTTAAAGACTGAGAGTGTGGGAGCCTGCCGGACACTCAGTGGCAACTCATTCCACAGTCGTGGACCTGCAACAGAGAAAGCCCTGTCACCCCTGAGCTTACGACGGGTTTCTGGGATTGAGAGAATGTATGGCGATTGTGCCTTGATGTTCCGCTCCTTTAGCTATTTGATCACTTCACGCACTTGTTTTCATTTTCTTTGCACCTCGGGGGAGTAGTCCTGGTCGAAGTAAACTTTGTTACCCTGAAACTCCACGTCCCGTTGCTTCCATGCATGCTGTAGCACAGCCTGTTTAACATTGAAATCCAAAAACCGAACTATTATGGATCTCGGTGGTGCTGCTGGTTTAGGCTTCGGAGCTGTAGCTTTGTGAGCTCTCTCAATGCAAATGTCCATGTCTACAGGCAGCTTCAGCATAGATTTAAAGAAGTCTGCAATAAACGGGCTCATCTCTTTTCCTTCTGAATCTTCTTTTATCCCATACACTCTTATATTGTTCCTGTGCAATCTGTTCTCCATGTCATCTTGTTTAGCAGTTAGTCTGGTGTCTTTTTTAAGTAAGTAAGCTAACACTCTTTCTTGCTGTATGCCTCGGTCTTCAATGTTGCTCACTCTCTCCTCCGCTGCATTCAGTCTCTCCTCCAGTGTGTCCATTCTCTTTTTTATTTCTCCAATTGACGCCTCCGTCCGAGTTTGAGACTCTAAAATGTCTCGTTGTGCAATTCCAGATTCTTCTCTAAATTTGCGGAGCTCTGTTAGCATTAACATTTCACTCCCAGTGTCGTTTTGAGCTAAGCTAGCATCTAACGTTAGCTGCTTTTGTGTTGTCTTTGTATCATCGCCTTTCAGTTCCTTTCTTGTTGTCCTTTGTGAGGGAGTCATTATAATAGTGTTTTCTGTATAGATAGGTGGAATTATATTCTTACAGCAGGTAATTTAATAATTATTTCGGTCAGAGCGCAGTCTGCAAGCGTCTCTACTCGGGCATACTGGAAGCGGAAGTCCCGATCAAAAATAATTTAATGCTATATTTAATACACATATACTGTATGACATACACAAGATGAATACAAAGCCACACCCCACCCCCACCAAGGACTTTCTGACCATATCTCCTGGCCCCTGCTTACCTCCCCCTCAAAAATTGGGTGGAAAATAGGGACTGAAAGACCATTTTACATGCACAGAGTGGCGGGTCTTCAGAGAAGCTGCTGTAAATGAAGAGGAGCTTGACCTGGAGGAATACACATCCTTGGACCTGGGGTATACTGTATTAGTAAATGTGCTAATGATGTCACCACCATCAGATATGTTAAGAGCTACCTGAACAGGCAGCCTTGGCTGAACGCAGAGGTTTGCACCCTGCTGGTAGCCAGGGACATTGCCTTCAGGTCTGGTAACTCACAGGAGCTGAGAAGGACAAGGAAAGAACTGGTTGCTGGTATTAAATGGGGCCAAAGCCACATATGCACAGAGGATCGAGAGTCAATTCACCTCACAAGACCCACGGAGCATGTGGAGGGGCATTAAGTGTATAACAGATTATGAATATGCTGATGCATGCTCAATAATTCAGGTAGAAAAATCTAAAAAAGTTAAATCTGGTCCTCTGGACATTCAAAAAAACAAAACAAAGCAAAACAAAAAAAAAAAAACAACAACGTAGAAACGTTTCGTCTTTCAATCCGAAAGACTTCCTCAGTCTGAGGTGCTGTATTCAGCTGAGTCTTATAAATAGCACCTTCTCAGAGTGGATCAACCAGTTTCGCTGCTGACAACCAAAACCAGCTGCTCACATGGTCAAGAAGGACCATCAGCCTAACAATGGATCATTAGCACACTGATGGCTGTTTACTATTCACAGGGGGTTGAGTGATACTAGCAATAACAGCATTGTAAGAGGGACAGTTGAACCCGGAGGCCTCCACCCCTGTTTATTCATTAAAGGACCATAATGAATGGTGGAGGTGGAGGCCTACGGGTTCAACTGCCCCATAGCCCTGACCCTAGACCAACTGAAAATGTGTTGACAATCCTGAACAGACAGATTCATAACAGGAGATCAGACAGTTTAGATGAAGTCTACCCATTCTGCCAAGAATTGAAGAGTGGTCAAACATCCAGCCAGAATGAGGCCAAAACACTTGTTACAAATAACAAACAAACAAACAAAAACAAAAACAACATGGATGATGTGCAACTTGGTACAAAACATTCAACCAAATTTTCATGCAGGCATATGAATATGTCAGTGTTTATGTCCAAGGATTATAGAGAATCACCATAATTGAACTATCATTAAAGTTGGACTGGTACCATTTTACAATAAGGCTCCCCTTATAGATGGCTAACAAATAGTTTATAGAAAAATTCTCTATAAACACTTTATAAATCATTAATAATTGTTTATAACATTAATTAAGGGTGAGAAAGAGACAAAACTGAATTTCTTGCCAAATAGTGAGCCAAATCTGTTCACCTATATATTTCATCTAGAGTCATTATATTAAACATTTCAGACTAAGTTACTACCTTGTAAGCACAATAAGCATTTGTAAACCTATTTTTTAGGATATCATTTTAGTTGTACATACTTTTTTTTCCCCCATTTACCCTTTATTTATACAGGTAGTCTCAATGAGTCACGAGAACTCATTTTCAAGAGAGACCTGTTAAGGGTGAGGTTGGAGTTAAGGGCCTTGCTCATGGGTCCAGAGTGGGGCAAACGAGGGTGGAGGGAGGTGTGGTTGTTTCACGTTTTCCACCCACATTTTGATGTTGATGGTACCGGGAGTTGAACCTGCAACTTTACGATCACAGGCACATCTTCTTTAACCTCTGTGCCACCAGTCCCCCTATACTTACAATGCAGTGATAAAGCACAATATGCTAAAGAAATAGGTTTACAAATGCTTATTGATCTTACAAGGTAGTAACTTAGTCTGAAATGTTTAATATAACAACTGTAGATGAAATATACGGTTGGCAAATTTGGCTCACTATTTGGAAAGAAACTGGTCAGTTTTGTCTCTTTCTCGCCCTTAATGTATTATAAACAATTATTAATGATTTATAAAGTGTTTATAGAGGAATTAAAAATGTATCTATAAACTATTTAATAGCCATCTATAAGCAGAGCCTTACTGTAAAGTGGTACTATTGAACTATATTTTGTATTTTGCTAAACAGATGTCAGTTCAACCTGACCAAAAGGCTGCTGGATATACATTTTTTAATTTTTTTTTTTTAAAGTACTTTTAAGCAGATCATGCATGGAGAATTAATGATAAATTCTCAAGCTGAACTCTACGGGGTCCATTCAAGAGAATTTGTCGTCTATAAACAGCTTCCAAACATTCTCAGCATTTTGCGCCTTCAGACAGGAAAGATTTGTAAATGGTAATGGACCGTACTTAAACAGCACAAACCAGGCTACCAGAAGCGCTTCACAACACAGTCTGCGCCCTCATTTACCTCCACGCACATGAACAGGCAAAAATTATTTCAATGTCTTTTGGTTGAAAGGAAAACTGGATTTTTGTGGATATTTTTTTATTATAAACGTCTGTGACTTGCACAGCATAACAGTTTCCAACTGCACTCCGAAAATATGTTCATATATGTGACTGTAAAAAAAAAGAGCTTTTAGTCTCATACATTCTTTAAAAACAGTTTGTACAAATTATTAAATGCAGTTTACAGTACATCTGTAAAGCAGGCACACATTGCTTATATGTTATATTTTATTTTTAAAAAGTACAAATTGCAAACTTGATAATTGGAAAAACCCACTTCAAGTTATAATCAGTAAATGTTCAATACCCCACACATTAAAAATAGATTCACAGATCAAATGAATCAAACATACCTCAGAAAAAAACAACCGTCCCTGTGAAACCTCAAAGTTCAGGGACACGTTTCAGTGGAAGACCAAGCAAGTTCCTAACATCAAACACACACACACACACACAAACACACACACACACACACACACTCTTTCATTCCCTTTTATAGTGCACACTTGTTTAAATCCACAGGTAACCCTATAATAAATCCTCCTATTTTGCTAAATCCAGTCTTTCTTTGCGTGCAAACAACTAGTTTTCATGTAAACCCAGAAGAAGTTTGAAACTCGCCATGACTTGTAGTTTTTGCTCCTGTGAGGAGTTCCGATAAAGGCGAGGTGTAAATAAAACCCAGCTCAAACACATTCAAGGCCACCGCTTTTAAGAACTGCAGAAAATGGAAAACGGGCTTTATTGAGACCAGAGGCAGCCGGTGGTAGTGGTGGTGGTGGTGGGGGGGAAGGGGGTGGGGGCTGAGATGTCTGTTGGAATGGGGGGTGGGAAGGTTCTGACATCATCTGGGTCATGTTGCCAGCTGGTCCCCATTCATAAGGGGCACTTTGGCTTCAGAGTCCAGCACAGTATGCAATTCCTCCCCCGAGTCCCAGTCCTCAAACCCGCTGTGCTCCTCCGCCTTCTCCCCCGCCGATGCCTCCTCCACTCCTCTCTCTTGGCGCCTCCTCCTGCTTCTGTGGGTTCTCCATCGCCTCGGCAGGCACAGGAGGCCCCCGAGGTCCGTTTGAGCCAGCGTGACCTCCAGCGTGTAGAGGGACCAGAAAAGAGCGAAGCATCCGAGCAGCAGCAGGAACTGGAAGGAGAAAAAAAAAGCAACAAAAGCTAATGTGCTAACGTGCTAACAAACAAACAAACAGACAAACAGCATGACAGGAACTTTGAGAAAGAGCACAAAAAAGAAAACGTCTGCATATTTTTGAATTGTTTGAATCCTAGAATACTTGATCTTTTGTGGAAGGTAGCAAAGGTTTTTTTTTTACCCAACTTGCTTTAAATTTCTGCATTTCAGACATCAGAGCGTGAAATACTTCCTGACTGAATAAATAAAAGACAACTTTTCCCACGCAGATAACTACCACAGTTTGAATCTTCTACCTGGCAGAACCAGAAAAGACAAAAAACACTTCAGCTCTTTTTAGACACGAGATGTTACATCAATCTGAATTATCTTCATAACTTTAGTCCTAAGCAGGTGGTGTGCCAGTGCCCCCCATTTCTGAGGGATTTCAATAGTAAATGTTTGTAGTTTTCAAGATGAGTGTTTTTCTGGACCTCAACTATTGCTAGTTGAAGTATACAAACATCACTAATTTATCAAATCTTTTATCAAAGAGCCTCAATGACCACTGTGACAATTTTGATCAATTAATAAGTAGGGTTTTTCTCTTTATAACAATTAAGGCTTATTATTCTATTAAAATAATATTTTTTCAATTGATGTGATTCTTGGAAACCTTTTCTTCACCCCACACTTGGGTGTTTCATGGCCCATAATTGGAGTCCTGAACCTCAACAATGACAGTGATTGCTTTAAAGTGTCAAAGTTCTGGCAACACGTCATTTAGCTTCTACACATTTCATATTTGTTGTCCAGGACAGGAACTAAAAACCTGTTTCAACTTGAGACAAACTGTCTTTTTATCATGTGAGGACAGGACGAGTGGACTGAGACATGTATAAATTCCTACAGGTTTAGACTCCATAGTCTCAAATGTTTCAGAGTTGCCACCTGGGCTTGTGGAAACCAGTGCATGTTTAAAAAGAGCTGAAGGGACATGTAAACATTCAGAGGGTCTGTGTTGTGTTCACCTTGAGGGTGTTAGACGTAAAGGGACTGATGATCTCTGGAGGGATGTCCAAGCCTGGAGGACAGGGCAGCGAGAAGCTGCTGTCCAAATATTCACCGCTCATGGCTTCCTCAATCAACCTGCAAATGTCAACAAACAGCTAATCAGCATGCAGATCATCCTTTAGGTCAGTGCTTCTCAATTATTTTCTGTTATGCTCCCCCCCCAGGAAGAAGTTAACATTTTGTTTTTTTGTGTGTAAACGTTCAGATCATCATAAAAACAGCAGCGGAGGACGGAGGAGGCGGCGGTGGGAGTTTATTTATCGTGTGAGCAGCAGAGGGGAGAGACACGGGTCATGCATGGCTCCCAAAACAACAAGGCAGCCATGTTTGTTCATAACTTTATTAGAAGGAACGCATGCGACAAAATGAGAATGGTGAAAAAAAAAAAAAAAAAAAAAAAAAAAAAAACTACTCCCTGCGGCAAAAAAAGCATGTTTTTAGGGTCACATGCTAATTTGCTAACCAAATAATCAATATTCTCTCTGTAATAAATCTATTTGTATTAAAGATGAGTGAAATGTGCGAGAGTCACGTCCCCGAGACAGTGTGAGAGTTGCAAAGCATGCTGGGTAGGAATTATGCGTTTCTTACTACAACATTTCTGAGTGTGAAAATGGGTTTTTCATGTTATTTTACTGTTCTGGATTGGCATTTACCGTATTTTCTGCACTATACGTCGCTCCGAAGTATAGGTCGCATCCGTCAAAAAATGCCTCACGAAGAGGAATAAAACATATACAAGTTGCCTCGGAGTATAAATCGCATTTATTTGCCCCCGGGAAACATGGGATGGTGTTGTGTCAAAAATCAATCGATAGTCTCAGGACTCGCTGTTGCAGTTCTTCGAAATTTAACAAGATAACCACCTAAAGACCATTGTTTGCTCGACATTATAACAAAGGTGTGTCTCAGTTTAACTTTTCATTAATAAATGCACTTTAATGGTCAAAACACCTTCATTGCGCCTGGGTGGTGCAGCATGGTCGGGTCGCACTGAGAACAGTCTGTCCCGGTCGGCAGTCATGCCGGGGACAAGGGGGCCACCACAGGAGCGAGGAGGAAGGCTGCAGTGAGGTGCGTGGTCCGTGGCCCAGGGAAGCGGCGAGGTGCTGGTGGGGGGACGCTGTAGAGCCCGCTTTGTCCCCGGACCCTTCCAGGATGATCCAGAGCCGGTTGTGGTGCATCGCCGCGGAGTAAAGCGCCCGGCGGGAGCCAGCCAGACATGGGGGGGGAAGGTTTCCCGCGAGGGGGGATCCTCAGCCGCCAAGTGGCCGTCCCTTCCGCCGGGTTGAATCCCCTAGGGTATACGTGTCAAACTCAAGGCCCGGAGGCCAAATGTGGCCCTCGTTGACCTTTTATCTGGCCCCCAAGATGTTACTTTAAATGTAAAATACTTTTATCACTTTAATTTTGTCAGTAATCTTAGATTATGATGTCAAAGGGGCAGGTCAGCCGACTCAGGACCCGAAGGTTATTGGTTCGAACCCTAGTCATTGGACATCTCGTGTTGTCTCTGAGCAGGACACCTAATCCTGAACTGCTCCCCAGGCGCTTGCATAGCTGCCCACTGCTCCACCTGGGTGTGTCCCAGGTGCGATGGGTTAAATGCAGAGAGCCAATTTTGTCTTTGTATGGGAACATACAATGATGACAACGTCCTGTTTGGGAACATCCTGACTTTCTTGTTAAAAGACAAGTGTAAATTCAAAGCTGTGTGTCGACGTTGTTTCATGGAGATTGGATCTGCAGCAGCAACACGTCTAACTTGTTAACGCACTTGAAACGACATCATCCGAACGTGAACGTCTTTTCTATAAGCAAGAAAAGCAGCTTGTTGCAAAGACTGACAACAGCAGCATTTAAACAACCTTTATTAGCTCATTCAGATCGGTCCAGAGCAATAACACAAGCTGTAATTTTTAAAGCTCTGGATCTACGTCCAAATGTTGTTGATGCGCCGACTTTAAAATCACTGAGCCCCGCTACGACATCCATCACGTCAACACTTCAGCCAAACAGCTGTAGCAGTATTAGCTTTAAATATTGAGAACTGTCTTTAAAAAAAAAAAAAAAAGCAAACTTGAATTCATCAGATTTAAATTTAGCAGAAACTAATTCCACTAAAGGTTTTCAAGGTTAGCAAAAACGTTAATCTGCTAAACGGAAAGTTTGTTCCACTATTAGCTGATTAGCGGAACCGTGCCCACCACTATTCTCGGTGAAGCTGCAGCACAGGTCCATCTCTGTCACACATCTGTAAAAGATGGTTCCTGTTAACATTTTGCTGCTTTATTATTTTAAGGTAGTATTTTGCTACTTTTTACTTTCAACTATTGATTTGGTACATTTAGTTTTGAGTTCAGTTTCAGCTTCTTCAACATATTTCAGCATTCACACTGCATTTATGCAGAAAATGTGATTTGCCTTGTTCTGATTACACTAGGACAAACATTACAGGTGGCATGTTTTCTTAAGAGGCAGTCCTTACCTCTGTCTGTCCTTCACCTGGCTGCAAGTCATAGAAGAACCGTACAGGGTCAGCTTCCACTGTTTCAGCACTCCCACTGCAGCACACTGCTCAGATGCTTCATCTTCTACAGAAACACAGATGAGGCAGAGACGAGTGACGAGGCTGGATTCAGAGACTAGAGAAGTGTGTTTGTGTTGACAGCTCTTTGTTGTCACTACTCAGCTCCTCCTCTGTGTGTGTGTGTGTCTTACTGTAGTCAGAGATCTTCAGGGTGTATTGGCCTTCAGCCTTCTCTCCCCAGCAGCGCACCGTGGAGAAAGTCCAGTCCTGATATCCTGAAGGATCTCTGTATCCACAAAAGAAAAGAAAAAACATTTTATTTAACCATTTAATTGTCCTTTAACTGTCCAACCATTCATGTTCCTTAAGGCAAAGAACAATCGACCACCTTGTTTAACTGCTTAAAAGTACTGTTTAATGTTTCTTTCTCACAGTAAACTAGTCAGTCAGCCTGAAAGAAAAATATCAAGTTTAAAAAACGTTTTTTAATCCTTTAAGGGCCTTTATTTAAAAAAAAAAGTTCATCCATCCAACAATTATCTTTCGCTTGTTCCAAAGCCGCGACCCCTTTTCAGAGTAAAAAAAGTTCACAATTCGTTTATTTTAAATCAACTAATTATTTTAAGGCAATTTTTGAAAAATGGCATTTTCACGATTAATGCGTTCAAATTTATTTTATTTTTTTTCTTTTCTTCTTCACGATGTTTGAAAAATTCCAGTCAGGAGTTTTATGAAGACCCTCTAGCTCATGGGACCCTTCAGATCTGGTATCAGCACGTTGCTTGTTGCTTGAAGATGAAGGTTTTTTTGTTGTCGTTTCCATTTTTTTCTTTCTTTATTTTTTGTTTAAAACTCTACTCATGCACAACGCCAGTTTGCATTTGGCTTTTTGCTTCTACTGACCCAGATATTTCAACGAGCCGCTGCATTTGCTGTTGACGTCCTGCTCTGGGTAAAGCCATCGAGAGGAAGCCGATCTGAGTCGCAGAGTGTCCGATCCTTCAGCCTGTACGCACTTTCAAATGCCTTTTGCACTAAATACGTTACTAGTACAACGTGAAAGTGAGTTTTTGCCCTTTACTTGTGAACTAAAGTACTTTTCAGACGAGGTGTGGGGCTGAACGCCACAGCAAGTCCACTCAGGAAGCAGGCACTGTGTCCAGGGTGAGTGGCTAAATGATTTTTAACAGAGGGTCACAAATATAAAAAGCAAAGTATAGCGGTAAAATAAAACAACAAAGCTTAGGGGAATGCATTATTTTATGATATGATAAATATGGGATTAAAAGTTGTTTTTACAGTTTGTTCTACGTGGCTGATTTTGGATTTTTAAACTTTCTTAGGAAAAAAAATTATTTAATGACGACACCAAAAAACAAACAAAAAAACAAAACAAAACGTGGACAAAAATAAATGAGGCTGATTTTTTTCCCCAGAAGAAAACTATTTTTATTTCCTCTAAGATTGTGACATATTAATCTAAAAACAAATGCAACACGGCTCTTACTGTGTTTTTATTTAATAAAGCCAAGCTTAATACTTGATTCAAGTCGCACGTATCCCCATGGCGTGCACGTACCTGTCGATGGTCCGACGAGCCCCGATGACAGACGTCATGCCACTGGGGCATACCAGCACAACCTCCACATTACCGCGACATGGGTGAGTTATTGTCACGGTAACGGCAACGTGCTCCAGAGTCTCCATCCCGGACGGCCTCAGATCAGCTGCAGAGACTGAAGGAGGCAACACAAGCTCAGTGTTTGTGTGTGAACAGAGTCCAGCAGGTTTCAGATCCCTCTACGGCTTGACTGAAGCGGTTATTTAATTAAACAATACGGTATTTTTAATTTTAACAGTTTCAGTTGATTTTTGGTCATCTTCTCGCCACAATCCAGCCTCTCAATGCGTCTCCTTATTAATTTATTTCTAATTATTTTTAGGACCAATTTTTGAAATCTCTAACCGTTTACTGACCCACCCGTGTTATTCTGATTTTTCATGTACTTTTATGCATTTATCTTTACATATGGCTTTTATTTCAATTTAATTGTACTGGTTTTATATCTCCTTAGCTAATTTGATGCACTTGCTTTGCTAAATGCCTCTGCATTTGAAAAGTTCTACCTAAACAGAGTTCGATGAAGCTATTTCTCAGCACCGTCCTGACTCCAACTGCTAACGGGCTGCAGTGCTTCCTGACCATGTAGGGATGCTGCACACCCTCGGAGCGAGGGGGGATGCAAAGATGCTAATGGAAAGAGCGTAAACCGAGGTGTGGGAGGAACGAGAGAGAAAAGAAAAGAAAGACGCAGAGAGAAGCAAATCACAACAAGAGTCTGAGTGTAATTACAAAGAATGGAGAAAATACAAGGTAGGATGAGCAGGTGTGAAAGGAAAATTTAATAAAGTCTTAAAGGCATGAACTGGGGGAGTTGTATTTTAGATCAGCTGAAGCTCGCCCTTTAATAAAGCAGCAGTGATGATGAAGAAATCTTCCACCTCAGTTGTGTTTTGGAGTTTCATTAAACCACTGACTTAATGGTAATGTACTGTTTTACAACACAATTCTAACACTGAATTTGAATATCTTTAAGTTTTCATGAAATACGTGACCGACTAACAGAACACGCTGAATCCGTAATAAATATAAAAACAATAAAAGCATAAAGCAGCAGAAAAACAGCAGAAATGCAGATGATGTGTGTACATGTATGTGAACTATTTGTACGTTCAGAATACTCCTAATTGTGCAATTTGAAATGTGCACATTTGAAAAACTTTTTATGCATTTTTAAATCTTGTGGTACGCAGACAAATCCTGTTGTACGCCTGCGTGATGACTTTAGAGAGTATTTTATCTTCATTCCCGTGGGAAGTAGAACTCTGAATTGTTTTAGGAGAAGCCAGTGAAGCAGCCAAAACACACACAGAACCAGCAACACTCAGTGGAGTCACAGGAAGATCTGACCAAGACAGACTGAAGCAGAACGAGAGGGTAACAGAAGAACAGGAGGGCTAAAGCAGAACAGGAGGGCTAAAGCAGAACAAGA